TCTTTTGACTGACTACAGATGGGTCAGTTTTTGATTTAGAGAGCAAATAGAAATAATTTAATCATTATTTTTATCCATCAGGTCTGTACTGCAGCAATGCATCACTTCATTTCCATTGCGTTTTCACTGCTGATCTTTACTGGGCTGCATGTGAGTGTTCGGTCCACAGGAAGACGTTTGGAGCGGAGCAGCGAAAGACATTTTACATCATTGCTGACTGTTTCGAATGGGATGCACTGGGGATCGTGGGGTCGAAGTGAGTACATACACCAAGGGGTTTAATGTGAAGGTAAGTTGAGCATCGACTCATGGATGTGGTTTTGATTTTATAACTCAGTATTTTTGTCTTGTTTTCCAAAAAAAAAATTAATAAAAATCTAAACATTCTTAAGTTGATCAGGACTTGATTTCACACTTCAGGAATTGATGTGTGTATTTATTTATTTATTTATTTTGGGGCTGTAAAATTGATTACTCCTATCCAAAATAAAAGTTTTTATTTTTTATTTTTTTATTTTTTTTACAGAATATTTGTGCTTTTCCTGTGTATATTTATATGTATATATAAATTCACACATACGTGCATATATTTAAGAAATATTTATATTTATGTATGTGTGTGTTCCTTAAATACATACATGTATGTTTATGTATTTATATTTATGTACAGTGCCTTGGGAAAGTATTCATACACAGTAAAACCCCCAGTGTTAAATCAACACTCTCAGTGTTTATATAATCCACACTCAGAGTGTTAAAAAAGTAACACTGAAGCAGTGTTAAAGTTAATGAGATAATTAGTTTAGTAATTGAGTGATGATTGAGAATTATTGATGAACACCTGCTGTTAACAAACTGAATCACTGAAAGAAAGAGAAACAAGAACAGAAAAAAAGAGACGAGACGAGCAGAAATCACTGAAAGAAAGAGAAACAAGAACAGAAAAAAGAGATCGCTCAAGATCTCAGCAGAGGATGATTAAACAACTCCACAAACAGCATCACCAACTTCACACATTACTAACCAGATTGACTTTAGATGTTGATGTTTGTTTCATTTGAATTACCATTACCGAGGTCAGTGTTTACTTTAGTTGGGCTCTTGACCCTTGACTTAAAACATTAGAATGTATTTGGCTGCCGTAGCTGTGCGTTTGTTTAGACATGTTAGTTATGGCGAGAAAAAAAAAAAGCTAAGAGAAAGTGTGGTAAAGTGATGGTTGTGTTTCTACAAAGACATATCCAGCGTACAGTGACTTGAGTAACTAATTAAAATTGTAGCAGAATATGTCTTCACTCCTGTGTCTAGTCAATTCAGTATATGTCTATTTTGGAATTGATTTTATGCACATAGTTTAAGATCTGACAGTTATAAGATTAACCTGATGGACTTTAGAAACTTATTCTGCACTTGAATTTTTACTTTTTTTTATCAAACAGACTTCAAGAATCAGCATATGAATCTCAACAATGGTGACAGTCAACATAAAGCTCCATGCTGCAGTGCATTCTGGGTGCACCAATCAAAACTCATCCATGGCTCCCAGCATGCAATGCGACATGAATAAATTATGCAGCTGTCTTCGTATTTTCTTTTATTCTTACTATTTCCTTTTGTTTTGCTCTTTTTGTTGTTATTTTCTTTGATTCTTACTATTTCCTTTTGTTTTGCTCTTTTTGTTGTGACTTTTAGTAGCCTGTTTTGTGATGTTCACAGATGCTCCGAATATCTGAATATGTTGATTGTCACCATTGTTGAGATTCATACGCTGATTCTTGATGTCTGTATGATAATGCAGCTTTAAGCTTCTAAAGCAAATTTACTTTTAAAAGTTTTTCAGACTAATTTTAAACCTGCTGAGTCAAAATTTTTATTTCATGTGAACAAAAATAAGTACTAATCAATCAGAATACCAGTTATGAAAGTGGCCAAATGCTGACGAGTTCTTCATTGAAAAGTAACCATCAGCACCCTATTGCTATAACAAACATGTCTAAACAAACACACTTTTGTTTTAAGTCAAGGGTCAAGAGCCCAACTAAAATAAACACTGACCTCGGTAATGGTAATTCAAACAAAACTAAAACATCAACATCTAAAGTCAGTCTGGTTAGTAATGTGTGAAGTTGGTGATGCTGTTTGTGGAGTTGTTTAATCATCCTCTGCAGAGATCTTGAGAGATTTAATGTCTTCTTTTATGTTGTGTTGATTTCATCTAAGGCTGTGGCTGAAGTCAGTTGTGTAGTTCTTGTATTTCTGCTCGTCTCATCTCTTTTTTCTGTTCTTGTTTCTCTTTCAGTGATTCAGTTTGTTAACAGCAGGTGTTCATCAATAATGCTCAATCATCACTCAATTACTAAACTAATTATCTCATTAACTTTAACACTGCTTCAGTGTTACTTTTTTAACACTCTGAGTGTGGATTATATAAACACTGGGAGTGTTGATTTAACACTGGGGGTTTTACTGTGTA